AGGTGATCAACTACCACAAGAACAAATCCCTGTTAGGGGATGGTCTTAGGGGCGAAGCCACACCTGGTGTTTTCAATCTGTTCTCACCAGTGATGACCAAGAGGAGTAATTCCAGTGGTAATAACACCAGGTGTACATCTGTTAATCATGGCGGAGGTCAGCCTTCTGGGTTCATACCTAATCCCAAATTTTGGTGCTTTCCTCAGCAATATCAAGATGGGAAATGAAATTATACCTCTCCAGGAGTCAACTTTTTGAAGCCAAACTTTTTAATCCACATCGGCTCAGCTTCTTTCAAGGCAGAAACAACCACATTCTTCACTGCAAGGGACCCTAATAGCCTCTTCAAACAACAAAAAAGTGCCTGAAAATATCCCTGCATATCAACAACATAAATTAAATAATGAATGTAAAGTGTTCTAATATGCACACACTGTAAAAGTACCTGTCCCTCAGCTTGCGCACTTGTTGCAGCCAAAGGAACCTCCGCCAAGTCTTTGCCTACTACCCTAAATATGACGGAAGAGACGACCCTCTTGCTACGTAACAACATCAAGAAACACATAATAAGCAGAAGAACAAAATATTTGTTGTTACAAATGACAAATTCACTACTTCATTGTCATAACTTACTCAATGAGCAATATGGCACAGTGCATGCCACTCAAGTCGATCCCAATAAATTTCTCTCTGTCAAAACAAATTGTTAAAATAGCTATGTGAGAAAAAACTGAAAAGTAAATACAGTTTGCAATTTGCATATTGCATACTATTATTATACTTATTATACCTACCCAGTCCTATATATCATTGCTTAGATGATGTCTCGTGGCCTCCCTCTACTAGTTTGATGCATCATAACTCCAAAGCATTGCTATTCAGTTTGAATCGCATCAAGCAATAAATACAAAGGGGAAGATAAATATAATTTTATTTAATAAATTCCTAAAATAGAAAAGTTAGTAAAAAATCAGGTTCGCGGTAGATATCCAGAGCTCCCATAAAAAATTGTTCAGTATCGCCGACGCGATCAATCTTCTCGTGGGGATAAAGGACCCTCCATTTCACATCAGGTCGGTCGGGACTGTGCTTCTTCTTCATAACCTTTCCCTTTTTCTTAATCTTCGTAAACTTGCTCTTTTTTCTTATGAGATCCAAACATGCATCTGGCACTTTCTCTTCACCCCCCAAAACCAATTTCTGCAACGTAGAATGAATCCTCGACATGCCCGGAACCTGTAAACCCCAAATTCTACAAATATAAATATTACAAACACATTCAATTAATAAAAAGTATCAAAACAAGAAGAACTCACATTCTCTCGCCCCGCACAACGTTCCCCTTCTTCATCCCTGGATGAAGATGAAAGGTAACGAAATGCAGTGGCAGGTTTCGGACAACAACAACAACCCAATACAATCCTAACTCCATTGGAGTCTAGGGATCAAGATGTACGCAATCTTATCTATGTAAAAACAGAGACACTCTTTTGACTTT